ATTGCCCCAATGCAGGTGTTTTAAGTCAGAGTTGGCTTGTGTGTGTACATATATGTATGTATGTATGTATGTATGTATGTATGTATGTATGTATGTATGTATATATATATATATATATATATATATATATATATATGTATATATATTTACGTTTTTACGTTAAATATTGTTTTTTTTTTGCGAAAAAAATGCAGATTTTCCACTAAAGTTCGCTGAAATAAGGGGGTACTGCCACTCAATTTTTTTCCTAGAATGGGCCCTGTCTATGTATATATGTACTACTGATTTTTTATATAGCACAGAATAGTTAATATAACCTTTGCCTGTATATATATATTTTGTTTACTTTTATATACAGTATATATATATATATATATATATATATATATATATGTATATACATACATACATACATACATACATACATACATACATACATACATACATACATACATACATACATACATACATACATACATACATACATACATACATACATAAATAGAATATATATGTATATATATTTAAATATATATTTTAGGGACTTGCAAATGAATTTGATTTGTGAATCAATTGCTTCTTGGATTTAAGATTTGATTTGAAAAAAATGATTTAAGTTTTCAAATCATTTTATTGTTTTTTATTGTATTTTATTTTCATACATACGGCGTTAAAAGTTTTTTAAAATATTAACACAAATCCGAAAATTCAGCGTGAAAAGAAAGTTTGTAATGTAATTTATTAAAATTAATTGCCAATTAAGGATTTAAACAGAGCTGAGCGCAAATTAGTAATGCATAAACTGTATAGTTAAACATCTATAACTTTGTATTGGTACTTTTTGAACTTTCTTTCACTTAAAGTAATTTTAATTTTAATATATTTGAGTGCTACTATATGAAATAAAAAAACTGTTAATTATTTTACATCAAGCTAAAAAAGTGGGTGATATGATTGATGATCTATATAATTTCAACAAAGTAAAAAATGGCGGTTTATCTCAAAGCCTAGCATTACTTTTGATCACTTTAAGACCGACAATGGCAATAACTTTCTTGTTTCTACTTGTCAATATATTTCATTCTCGTGAGTTTTAGAATCTTGCTGTTTGTCAGTTGTAAATCTGCAAATAATAAATGTTTGTCACAAAGCTATTTTTTTTTTCCACTGAAAAAGTTATATTAATTGTACTGTCAAAATTTGACTTGACTTCAGATTATATTTTATGACACTGTTCTTAGTGTCATAATTATGTTGTGTGCAACTTCTTGGAGTTGATTGGTTAAGCTAGTGTGCTCATAAACTCCAACTTCATGTGAAATCATCTATCCACAAGCAACCAATTCTTTGACATTAATTAGCAAAGCTCATAAAATAATTGGATTTTTTTACTCATCATTGGTCAGACAGGCAGCAGACATCAGACAGACAGGCATGACAGGCATCAAAAAGTATCAGATTTTAAAGGAAGAGTCAAAGCCTCTAATTGATGAGAAAATCCACTTTAACAGCACTTCTAACTTATTGAGATGGATTTTAAAAAATCATGGTTTTATATAACTTGCTCTAGTTCAGTGCACACAGAAAAAAAACTGTATGAAAGTGCCACCGACTTGTCTAACTGAAAAGCAAGTGCAATTATTAACAATTGTTACTCCTTTTTTAAATGCAGTATCTGAAGCCACTACTATTCTACATGGAGAAAAACAAGTGAGCATTTGTTTAGTTTTTCTGTCATTACAACTTTGAAAAATTGTTTTTCACTCACTGGATAAAAGACAGGTAACTAAATTTGTTGATGATCTTATTATTCAGTTGGAAATCAGGTTTGAATTAAGTGAAGATGTTTTTCTTATTGCTACCTTCTTAGACCCTCAATTTAAATCAGCATGTTTACCTTAGAGGAGATGCAAATTAATAAATCTTACTTAATGGTATCTAAAAAAAAGTGCGATTTAAGTATTTCTAACATTCCTGATGAAATTCAACTCAAAGGAACAAATTTCTTATCTAAAACAAATGGAATTTTTAGATAAAATAATTGAACATAATTCTAAGAGTACCCTATCAGAGGAAGAACTTTAGATCAGCAATTAAAATTTGAAATTACTGCAAACACCGAAAAGAAAACATTGAAACATTCAGATTGTCCTATACTTTACTGGAAGAACAAGCGTAATGCTTTTCCATTATTATCTAAAGTTGTATTTGATCTTCTTGCTGTACAAGCTACAAACTGTTCATCAGAAAGAATTAACTCTGTATGAAGAGGAGTAGTTGACAGTAAATGCAATAGCCTTTCCAAGCCAAATGCGGAAAGGTTAATTTGGGCTTAAAGTAACAAAAAGAGATTCAAATAGCATTCTAATTACATTGTGTAATTTTATATTGTGAAAGTTAGAGATAAAAAAAACTTATATTCAGATATTCTTAAACTAGTGATTGGATTCGGCATTCAATTTGATTTGTGAATCAAGTGCTGCTTTGATTTGAGATTCAATTTAAAACCAAAAATGCTGATTCGCAGGATCCTTATATATATATATATATATATATATATATATATATATATATATATATATATATATATATATATATATATATATATATATATATATATATATACATATATATATATATATATATATATAAGGATCCTGCAGCCCATGTAAAATTTTTGGCACGTTGTTTTAAGACATATATAAAGTTTTTTGATGATTTCTAAAGTAAAATGACCTGAGGAATCCAAATCGTTTGGGAGCCAGATGCTATCTGTTGGGTATTTTACGGTATCCGATATTTTTCCAAGATGATGGCCAAATATACAAGTTCTCCTAAATTGACTTGTCATTGTTATACAAAGCTATATAATGTCTTCATAAATAGTATGAAAGATTACATTTTCATCTATTCTACATTTAATCCATTTAGATTACATTTTCATCTATTCTACATTTAAATACATTTAATCCAATGAGATTACATTTTATTCTACATTTAAATCCTTTACATTACTATTCTACATTTAAATCCAACGTCGCCAAAATAATTAAAAATTAATGTTTGCAATCAAACTTCGCTTGACAATCTCCAAGGCATTTTCATGCATTCCACTGGAAAATAAAGGAGAATTATTGGAGAAAAACTTAGCATGGCAGTCTTTGTGATATCTCCCATCAGTTGCATGTGAATCACTTACTGCTTCATTTACTTGAATAATAACATCTTGTGCCCATTCGTCATCAAGCCCTAAAGCTTTCACAAGAATGGATTGTTTGAGGTTTTTTTTCCTTACCTATCAGCAGTGCAACAAAGGTATGCCTCTCTCCATCAATCAAGGGAATTTTTTGTCTCGTTCTAACAAGCATTTTTCTCTACAGAATTAGAAGTTCACAAGGAAGTTGAAAGAATATCCCTCTCAAACGTTTTTTAGCTGATTCTAAAAGCAGTTTGCTCGTGCTCATGTTGGCGCTTAGCCACAGATTTTTGAGTATGTTCTTTTGAACAATATGTTTTGATACAGTTGTATGGGTCATAAAACTGTTGGTATCGTTTCCCAATTTCAAACCCAATCCATTTCCCCGTAATGTGCTAGCATTCTGCAGACCAGCTACTTCTTTGGAGATAATCAAGTTGTTGTCCTCAGCACAACAAATGAGGTATAAGTTATAGTATATAATAAATAATAATATTGATAAATTAAAATAAACTTAACATTATAATAAACTACATACTTCATGTTTCCATAAAGAATTAATATTTAAGATTGTTTTTTTTATTTGAAACCAAATTCACATCATGTTAAGACTAATAAATGCATCATTAATATTAAGTATTATTATTGTTATTATTATTATTATTATTCAACATTCATGAATAAGATGATGGACATTAAATGATAAAATAAATGAACTAATAATTACATAGTGAATTTTATATATATATTTTGGATATAATTAAAAATCAACTTTTTTGGCAGCCATTTTGAACTTTTTAATTGTTTTAGCGGCCATGTTGGATTTCAATAATTGTAGAATAAATGAAAATGTAATATTTTATACTATTTACGCAAGTTTGAAGACATTATATAGCTTTGTATGACAATTACAAGTCGATTTAGGAAAATTTGTAGTTTTGGCTGCCATCTAGGAAAAAAATGCGGTTACCATAAAATGCCCAACAGATGGTGTCTAGCTCCCAACGGATTTGGATTCCTCATGTTATTTTACTATAGGAACCATCGAAAAACTTTATATATGTCTCAAAACGACGTACCGATACCAAATGCTCAGATTATAAGGTTAACTGAATGTTTTGTACATGCACTTGCAATACCGAGCAGTTTTACTATTGGAGTCGGAGTGATTTTGTTTAGCGACTCTGACTCCAATAAAAATGTCGCAACTCAGACTCAGACTCCACAGCCCTGATATATATGTATATATATATATATATATATATATATATATATATATATATATATATATATATATATATATATATATATATATATATATAATATACACACACGTATGTATATACATATATATATATATATATATATATATATATATATATATGTACATATACATATAAATATGTACATATATATATATATTATATATATATATATATACACATATGCATATACATATACACACACACATATGTATATAAATATATATATGTGTGTGTATCTATATATATCTTTATATATATATATATATATATATATATATATATATATATATATATATATATATATATATATATATATATATATATATATATATATATACATACATATATATATATATATATATATATATATATATATATATATATATATATATATATATATATATATATATATGTATATAAATATATACACATATATATATATATATATATTATATGTATATATATGTATATATACATGTATATATATATTTATGTACGTATGTATGTATGTATTTAAATACTACTGACTTGTTATTTAGCACTGTGTAGTTCATATAACCTTTGCCCCAAAGCTGAATAAAGATGAAATTGAGAAGAAAATTCTGGACTTACTCAAAGAAGAAGCCACAATCCTTGAGAAACAAAATTTGACTGAAATTTCTCAACTAGAAAACATCGTGAAAGAAAAAAAAGGAAAAAGTACAACTCCAAAAGAAAAGAAAAGCGATTCAAAAGAACAAAAAAAATCTTTGTCAGCAAATACTTCTAGCAAACCTATTTCCGATCGCAGGTTGTTTTCTGAAAATATATTTGTACTAATATATAACACAAATTTTTATTTAAAACAGAAATGTAAATAAGATGAAAGCTGTCATTATGGTCACAAAAAAGTTTTTTTTTTAGATTATTCGAGAAGAATGCAGAAAGTTTGCTCCAAAAAACATTTGAGGGTTCATTTTCAATCTATAAAATACCATGTTTCATTGCACCTGATAACTGTGAAAAAGAAAACCACAAACTATAGTATGTAACACTTTTTATTAATAATAGTGTTTATTAGTATATACTTAATAAACTATTATTTATATGCAATTATTATAAATTTTATTAATATTTATTGTAATAGGGTTAATTAATATTTGATATAAATTATTAATATTGCAATACATTTTTTTATTTTTTAGTCACGTGTTATAGTTCAAAAAATTAACAACATTTTTTTTTGTATTTAAACAAAAATTTGTTGAAAAAAATTTAAAAGTTCTTAAGATTTAAAATGTTAAAAAAAACTTTTTTTCATCAGGTAAAATTTATAAATTATTTGATCAATATAATCTGTGTTTTGGTAAGATTTATTATATTAGTTTATAAATTTAAAAATTAAAAAAGAAAGTTATAAAATTTTGTGTTGTAAATTGTATTATAAACTGACTTTAGTATAGCCATTTGGAGTTTTAGTGAGCAGAATTAAAAAAAAACAAAAAAAAAACAAGTAAATAATAATAAAATATATTGATGATATGCTTTTGTACATTTTTTCTTTGCATTCATTAAAAAAAATTTTATTTTATATTAAAAAGAAATATGACATAAAATAAATATTTAGAGTGTAAACAATTTAATAATGACAATGGGTCTCTATAATCTAGTTTTGAGAGAACTGGAAACAAATATTATTATCAAGTTTGGAGATAAACTTCAAGTCATAGTACTACAGTTTGATAATAAATTAATATTCCTATTAGAGGTTTTATTGTATAACTTTTATTTGAGTGGTTTCATTCTATATCTTTTATCTTTTCTTTTTTCTTTTTTTTTTTTAAGTGGTTAAATTGTATATTGTATTAAATTATATTAATACAATAATTTTATTTATTTACAGTAAATTTATTGAATTGTATATATTTTTTACATTTATTGTTTGCATCTTTAATAATTGATTTTTTTATTAAGCAAACACTACACCTTGTTTCTTGAAGTACATTGTCCATCAATCAGGCCTGCATTTTTGGCTTTTTCAGCTGAACATGATAATATTGTTAATTTTGGTAAAGTTTTGATAGGTAAACACTTTTTATAAATTTTATTATGAAAAACATTTATTAAAATGTTTCCTTTAGTCGCCATTATTTTACTTATAAAATTTTATATAACATAGAGTTCGTATGTTTTATACAATATTATAGAATTTGTATGTATAAGAATTAATTTTAATGTATTCAAAATTTGGTTACAAAATACTCATACTGGGATAACAATTGTTTTATAAACAATTAATATAGATTGTAATTGCTTAGTGGTTAGTGTTATTCACCCACAGATTTTTCTATTCAGATTGTCGTAAATTTCAAAAGTTCAGTGATATGTTTACACAAAAATTTCAATTGTACAGCAAAGCAGCTTACATCTTTTCTCCATTCCTCTACCTGAGACTGAAAACAACAAGCATTAAGTTGATGTCATTGCAATAAATAAGTTCTTGTTCTTCAATAAAGAGGTGCACAGCTCTATTGTTTGTTAGCAGTATACTATAATTTTTTTTTGCACCTTGTAGATTTCAATTTTCAAAAGAGGTTCACGAAAATTACTTTAATCTTAGGGTAAGATAAACTCACATAGTAAGTCTTTTAGGATACACTGTGTAATAATATTGTAAACATTGTTGCTTGTGAACGCTGTTTGGTACTCATAGGTAAATTGTTCACTTTCTGAATCAGATTTAAGTAAAAATTTTAGGTTTTTTAAAAGGTTTTAAGGCAGGAGCATTGTTACATTGAGAAACTGGACAAATAGCTGACAATCAATTGAATAGTGTGCTTGTTCAATTTAAGCGCAAATAAAGCAAAAGTAAAAGTGTGTTTTGTGAACACTTTGTTTATTTATTTTATTATTTTGTTTATTTACAACAATCAACAATTCTGGACTAGAAAGGTTAAATCATTTAGACAAGAAAACAATTTATGCAGGTAATATTAGGAGACCAAGGCTTATCCTATTGGCCAATTTTATAGTAAAAATAAAGATAATTTTATTATATGTTCTGTAATATTTTATAAAGTAAATTATTATAGTTTATTACCGCCAATTAGTGATTGTTTACAGTCTTGAAGGCAGTCAATTTGTATAAAGTATAAAAATATTAGGATATTTTTTATTGGGAAAGTTGTTTATTTTTATAGTAAAAACTAAAATACCAATAAAATGTAATAAATATTGCTTGAATTAGCATAAGCTGTAATAAAGATTCTTTATATTTTCAATAATAAGCAGGGACAGTAAAAAATCATTAAAATATGGAAGCCATGTTTTCTTACAGTTTCTATTGTTTTTTCATAATACTATATATATAAATATACTGCATACTGAATAAGTTCACCAAGATTTTGTACAATACACCTATCCAACTTAAATTCTACCATTTTGCGCGGTGGGGACTGAACTCTAATTGTGTGGGTAAAAGTTGAAAAAACTTCCTAAATATCTGTATTTAAATTAGCATTTATTTTTATTTATCTCATCTTTTGAACTCAACACGATGGCAAGAGGTAACTGTGCAGTAATGGAGTGTTCAAATAGCCATTATAAACTTTTGAAGAGGAAAAAACAAAAATGTAATGTTCATGAAGGTTTCAAAAAAAAAGCAATGTGGTTGTAATCATCCTTCCAATCTTTACTGTTTTTCAAGTTTTTTAAGAAAGTCTAGAGAAAGAGAAAAGTGGAAAATTTTATTAAAAAATAAAGGTAAAAAATAAGAAAAAATGGAATCCATGTGACAGTGATTGTGTATGTTTGATGCATTTTGTAGATGGAACACCTACCATTGCTAATCCACATCCTACTTTAAATATGGGATATAATTCTACTTATATTTAGCCGAGAAAGAGTTTAAATATGTTGTCCAAAATTAAACTTTTTAATTTTGAACGGTATTAGCACAGAATGTAATGACACTAATAATAATACAACTGAAGATAATATCAGTGAGTTATGCAGTAATAATAACGATAATACAATTTATCTCCCACCGCCAAGCTGTGAACATTCATATGCTAGCCAGTCATTGCTAAATGTGTGTGAAAGATGTAATTCTAGAACCTCTTTGATTGATTCTCTTGTTAAAAAAATATAGCAAAAACATTTGCTAAACAATATAATCTTTTTGTACTAAAAAATAGAAAATAAACTTTTAAATTTAAATTTAATAGTTCAGTAAACTAAAGATTGACAAATCTGCAAGATTTATATAAAAACATATCTGTCAATCTTTAGTTTACTGAACTATTAAATTTAAATTAAAAAGTTTATTTTCTACTTTTTAGTACAAAAAGATTATATTTTTTAGCAAATGTTTTTGCTATATTTTATTTTCTACTTTTTAGTCTTTACAAAGAGTTACAATTTATTAGTATGAAACAAAATTTTTTTGTTAATTAAAGTATTTTAAAAGATTTAAAAAAAAAATAAATAGAAACCCACAAGCAATTTTAGCAAATTTTAAAAATGAAAAGTATTTATAAAAAGTATTTATAAAAAGGAAAAAAGCAGTAAACAGCGTAAACATTCTCACCTCCACTTTTCTTCCACAGCAGACAGCGGCTGCCTCCCAATTAATTTTTAGCGGCAAAATTTTTTATGTGTTGCCTCCGATGGCATCCACCTTTCTATTGACGGTCGTAGTCAGAGATTTTTTTTGGAGGCAAAATGTTTTTCAGGCCAATTGTGGCTGCCTTTAGTAGAAATTTTGGAGGCAAAACCATTTGGAGGCCGCCTCCTATAACTTTTGCCTCCCAGCTGGCTGCAGCCGATAAAATGGAGGCAGAAATATTTGCCTCCCAGCGGTGGGCATAATGAAAAATTGCACGTTTGTCTTTAAGTTAACGAGCAATTAAATTATTAACTGAGAACAAAGGTTAAATATTTGACATCAAAGTTTTGTTTTGTATGATTTATGGACTATTTAAAAAAATTATTGAAAAAAATTTATTATTTTGTCAGAGCATTGTTTTTCTAGGACTATTGAATAAATTTTTGACTTTTAAATGTTTGAAATTTTTAATTGCTTAACTTTAAAACGTGTAAAAGTAGATGGGTCTATATTTTTAAACGTTTTAAAAGTATAGAGTAAAATATAAATAATATTTATAAAAGTATTTAGATTTAAAGTTTATAAATTTTTTTTTTTTTTTGGTTGTAATTTGGCAAAACTATTAGCATAATACAGCGTAGTGGCAAACTTTTTATAAACATTAGCAGTTATTTTTGCAATAACTTTTACAATATTCAATTATTAAAAATAAGTATTTAACGTTAGTATTTAACATAATTTTAGCTTGTCGACTTGTTCTAAAATACTTTTACCAAAATCAGTCAATTTTTTTTTTTAGTCAAAAAGATTTATTTGCCAATGGCATAGAAGTAAAATTTCCAACTTTTATCTTTTGTTTTGAATAATAAAACTACTAATTTATTCTACTTAATTTATTATTTTTTAAAAAAAAATTAGAACTTTTTTAAATACTGCACATAATCACATAAAATGAAATTTGATGTCAAATATTTAACATTTCTTTCTAGTTAATATTTAATTGCATTACAGTAAACAAGCAATTATTTTTCATTACATCCGCCGGCTGGAGGCAAACATTCCCGTCGCCAATTTGGCAGCCGCAGCCAGTTAGGAGACAGAAGCCATTAGAAGCGGCCTCCAAATGATTCTGTTTCCACAATTTTTTGGGGGGCAGCAACCAATGGCTTCCGCCTCCCTAATGGCATCAGCCTCTAAAACATTTTGCCTCCAAAAAATAACTCTGGCTGCGGCCACCAATAGAAGATCAGAAGCTACTGCAGGCAGAAGAAAGAACATTTTGCGGCTAAAAATTGAACGAGAGGCCGCCGCTTACAGCTTCCGCCTTCCTAAAAAGTTGGCCTTTTGACAGAAAGTTACTTTGCCGCCTGGCGACATTATTAACTAACGAGAAAATTAAAAAAAAAGTAATTTAAAAAAAAATTACAAACCCACAAGCAATATTAGCCTATTTTAAAAATGAAAAGATTAACATTTCCTATAGATAGCAACCTAGCAAGCAATTTAGTAGCAAATTTTTTTATAAAATGTTTTTATTTCAGAGCGTCATAGACGACAATTAAAGATAAGGAAAAAAATTATATAAGTGAGTGAAAAGATTACAAAATATTAAATTTTTTAGCAAATAATATTGCTATATTTTCTTTTTTTCTTTTTAGTCTTTACAGAGAGTCACGATATTTAGCAATGTCAAGATATTTGAAATTAAATTGAGATTTTTATCCTTATTAAAGAAACAGAGTATTTCCTGATTAAAGGGAACGACTGAATAAGCGAGAATTTTATAAGTGCGAATGGCGTAAGTACGAACTGGCATATATGCGAAATGGCATAAGTGCAAAGCAGTTACAAAAACTGGCACAAGAGCGAACTGGCATAAGTGAGCCAAAAGAATTTGGAAACATTGGCATAATTGCAAAATGTGATAAGTGCGAACTTGCACAAGTGCGCCGAACTTATTATACTTCGCACTTATGCTAGTTTTTGCAACGCCTCGCACTTATGCTAGTTTGCACTTATGCCAGTTCACGCTTACAAAGCCTCCTGGATTAAAGGAGCGGAATATATTTTTTTAAAGGATAAAATTTAAAAAAAAGTAAAATAAGATGCAAATACCGTACAAATATTTCATTTGCATTGTCCTCCCACATATCTTATATATTTTTAATATTAATATTACACAAAATTATGTTGTTTAAATAAACAATTTTTTTGAATAAACTTGAAAAATGTTAAAAAGTTACATTTTTCAAGTTTATTTAAAATTTTTTTTTTTTTAAAGTATCAAAAAAAGATTTAAAAAAAAGATACAAACCTACAAGCGCAATATTAGCCGATTTTAAGCAAAGAAACAATTTTCCATTAACAAAAAGCATTTTTTAATAATAAACAAACCCGCAAGCAATTTAGAAGCAAATATTTATATAAAAGGTTACTTTTTATGTGTCCTTGGATGACAAAGAAAGTTGAGGAGGAGCA